AGAAATATAGGGTTTAGAGTGAGGGAGAGATGTGTATAATGAGTGTTAAATTCGGACCAAAACGTTATAAGAAAACAAGGCATGGACTGCCCAGTTGGCCGCTCGTGCGACCCATTTTCTCCGCTCGAGTGTTTTTAGACAGTATGCAAAATTCTGGGTGGCAGCCTCCACCGCTCGTGTGACCCCTCCCACCGCACGAGCGGCCCAATTCCGCACGTGCGGCCCTGGTCTAGAAGCCTAAGAATTCAACTTCGTCCCCGGGCACCTCGGACTCACCCGCGCACCTTCTGGAACAACCAAAATTCAACACCGAACGAAATAAGAACAAGGAACCCATTTCCGGACGTTTCATTCCAACGAAAATAAAAAGTGAACGAAGCGAAGAATGAAGGAAAAAAAAAGGAAAACAAAGACCCGGTCGTCACAACCTCCCCATCATAGGAAATTTCGTCTCCGAAATTTGAATAGACTCACTAAACAAAAGTGTTCTAGCAACAAAAGTTATTTCAACAATATTAACAAATTACCACATTTATGCTCAACTAGCATTTAGCATTCTTCTTGTCATTATCTCATTAAAACACAATTAGTCAAGCAGAAAGGAATAAAACATCTATAACAAGGTATTATGCTCTTTATCATCATTCTCCAAAATAGTAATTGTGGGGACATAATTTTTGAATGACAACACATGGCCGAGGTGTCACCGACGTGCCAGCCGAGGTGCCACGTGTCCTGGTCATGACGCTGAGATCATCTCGGCTAGGCCGAGGTTATCTGTGAAGATACCGGAATCCGGGATAAGTGGATAAGGGACAAGAGTCCTAGAATGAGAAAGAACTTCAGTTTGGGTAAAGATAAGACTCTTAAAGAGTTTATCCTAATCCTATTGGGAGTCTAAGATTAGCAGTAATCCTAAGTCAATTGAAGCTAGGCTTCTATTGGGACTAGGTTTGTGTTGGCTATAAAAAAGAGGCACCATCATGGGTCTAAGACATACTTTTTATGCTCTAAATATTGAGTTAAGCACTTTTGCTATCTTTGAGAGATAACTGACTTGATCGTCGGAGTGCTCCCGGGTGGACGAACCACCGTCGGAATCTCTTCTTTTTGTGACAGGTCATTCGGGCTTAATCTATTCTGCTAGTGTTCTACAGCTGAGTGCTTGATTGGCAGTGTGGTCGGAAATTGACACACACAGTAACTTCTCATATTAAGCATTTGGTATAAAACACTCATGGCAAAATATCTTTCTTTCACAATCTCAAGCTTAGATTAACAATACATACAACAACATTCAATCAAAATCTAATACCTCTCCCTTCAATACAAGAGAACATCACAATCTAAAATAACATCTAAGCATTTTCAAATAATTCCAGATAGTTGGTGCGGACTTTCGCTTCTCGTTTCCAAGTCCTTCCTCAACCCCATGGTGTCTCCACAACACCTTCACTAACGGTATAGTCTTGCCCCGTAACACTTGCTCTCGGGTATCTAAAATTTGAACCGGTCGTTCCTCGTAGGAGGCATCCTGATCCACCTCCAAATCAACCAAATCTAGCACATGAGAAGGGTCGGGTTCGTACTTCCTAAACATTGACACATGAAACACATTGTGAACCCCCGAAAGTTGTGGCAAGAAAGCTAACCGATATGCCACTTCCCCAATTCTCTCCAATATCTCGAAAGGCCCAATGAACCTCGGAGACAACTTTCCACTCTTACCAAACCTCATCAAACCTCGCCTAGGTGAGATCTTAAGGAACACGTAATCACCTACTTCAAAAGATAATGGTCACCTCCTCTTATCGGCATAACTTTTCTGTCGGCTTTGGGCCGTAGCTAACCTCTTCCGAATGAGAGCAACTTTCTCGGTAGTCTCCCTAACAATGTCCGGACCCAACAACGGTGCATCCCCCACCTCGACCCAACAGACCGGTGACCTACAAGGTCGGCCATACAAGGCCTCAAACGGTGCCATCTCAAGGCTAGCTTGATAACTATTGTTGTAGGCGAACTCAATCAACGGTAAATGCCTCTCCCAAGACCCCTTGAAATCAAGGACACAAGCTCTAAGCATATCTTCCAAGATCTGTATAGTGCGTTCCGACTGTCCATCGGTTTGAGAGTGATAAGCGGTGCTAAAAGTTAATTTAGTGCTCAATGCCTCTTGAAGGCTTTGCCACAACCGGACGGTAAAACGAGAATCCCTATCCGACACAATGGTTACCGAAACCTCATGAAGCCGAACTATCTCCCTAACATATAACTCTGCCAAGTGCTCAGCTGAGTCGCTAGTTCGCATAGGAATGAAGTGTTTGGGCTTAGTCAATCTATCAACAATTACCTAAACGGCATCATTGCCCCGTTGTGTTCTAGGAAGCCCAACCACAAAGTCCATTGTTACGTGCTCCCATTTCCACTCAGCTGTCGGCAGGGGTTGCAACAAACCCGCTAGTCTCTGGTGCTCGGCCTTCACTTGTTGACAAGTAAGGCACTTGGACACAAAGGATGTGACATCCCGCTTCATACCCCTCCACCAAAACTGATGGCTAAGGTCTCGATACATTTTGTTGCCTCCCGGATGTACCGCAAGGCGTAAGTGATGGAACTCCCAAAGCACTTCCTCTCTACAAGATTCAGGCGCAAACAGGAGATCTAAGTAACATACACTCTGATCCGAGCGAATGTTCAAACCCTTCTCTTCCTTCCCATTGGTGATTCTATCCCGGATTAACTCTACTTCCCGGTCTCCTTGTTGTGCCTCTATGACTTTGCTAATCAAAATAGGTTGAGTACTCAAACTAAACAGTGTTGCACCTTCCTCGGATTCACCCAATTGCAATTCAAACTTGCCGACTTCACCCAACATAACCCACTCTCGACTGGCCACACTGGCCAAACTACTCATGGTTTTTCGGCTAAGGGCATCGGCCACTACATTGGCCTTCCCTGGATGATAATGTAACTCAAAATCATAGTCTTCTAAAAACTCCATCCATCTTCGTAGTCTTAGATTCAAATCTTTCTGAGAAAACAAATATTTCAAGGTCTTATGGTCGAAGAAAACCAACTTTTCAGCATACAAGTAATGCCTCCAAATTTTCAAGGCAAACACTACCGCCGCTAGTTCTAGGTCGTGGATGGGGTAATTCTTCTCATGAGTTTTCAGTTGCCGCGAACCATACGCTACAGCATTTCTCTCTTGCATTAAAACATAACCAAGCCCATCCCGAGACGCATCACAGAAGACAGCATAACCCAAACCCCTTTCTGGAATTATCAACACCAGTGTCGTGGCCAACCTAGTCTTAAGCTCTTGGAAGGATCTTTCGCATGCCTCGCTCCACACATATTTAACCCCGTTTCTAGTCAACCTAGTCAAAGGTGCGGCTAGTCTAGAAAAATCTTTTACAAAATGCCGATAGTTCCCCGTCAATCCCAAGAAACTCCGGATCTCAAAAACATATTTAGGTTGCTCCTAATCTTGTACCGAATCTATCTTCGAAGAGTCTATAGTTACTTCCTCACTTGACACCACATGACCCAGAAATTTCACCTCGGTGAGCCAAAACTTACACTTCTCAAATTTGGCATACAATTGGTGTTTTCTAAGCAAGTCCAGCACTACCCTCAAGTGGGCCTCATGTTCTTCCTCGGAAGTTGAGTAGATTAGAATATCGTCCACAAAGACGACCACAAAGTGGTCCAAGTACTCCCTAAAAATTCGGTTCATCAAGTCCATGAAAGAAGCCGGTGCATTGGTCAACCCAAATGGCATAACAAGGAACTCATAGTGGCCATAATGTGTACGAAAGGCCGTTTTCTGGATGTCCTCTTCTCGGACCCTCAACTAATGGTACCCTGACCTCAAGTCTATCTTCGAAAAACAACAAGACCCTCCGAGTTGATCAAATAAGTCATCTATTCTGGGTAAAGGGTATTTGTTCTTAACGGTAACTCGGTTCAACTTGCAGTAGTCGATTCACAACCGTAACAACCCATCATTCTTCTTCGCAAAGAGAGTCGGCACTCCCCAAGGTGATGTACTAGGGTGAATGAAGCCCTTGTCTAGAAGCTCTTGGAGTTGAATCTTCAACTCATGCAACTTCGCGGGTGCAAATCTATACGGCGCCATAGAAATTGGTGTCGTTCCAGGCACTAAGTCGATGGTGAACTTAATCTCCCGGTAGGGTGGCAAACTAGTAAGGTCCTTAGGAAACACATCCGGATATTCACACACTATCCTTGGCAACTCAACTCGTGTTTCGCCACTCTCATTATCCAGAAGAGTAGCAAGAAGACCACTAAGCTCGTTCCTACCACGAGGGTCAAATACTAGAGATAAGACTCAATCAACCCTGTCTCCTAGGAAATAAACACAATCCCCACCTGAGGTGCACACTGTGACCCTCTGCCAAAAACAATCAATCACTACCCAATACGAAAACAGCCAATCCATGCCTAGAATGACATCAAGACTGGACATGTCTAACAACATAAAAGAAAACGGGAGTCTACGCCCGACAACCTCTATCTCACAATCACGACAGCTCCAATCTAAGTCAACTGTACCCCTCGACTGGTGACTCAACTCTGAGTGGAGACGCTAACTGTACCATCTCTAACCCCAATACAGATGTGAATGTAGCAGATATGAATGAATGAGACACACTCATATCTATCAACACACTGGCCAAAGAATTACACACAATAAAAATACCTCTCACAACCGAGGGTCCTAGCAACTACTCTGGCACGGTAACAACAGACACGCGCCTCTGTGGCCTTTGATCAACCTACTTATCCATTGAAGTGTAGGCCTGTTGTACTGACTGAGCCGAAGCGACTCCCTGATGAACTCTCGAAGTCTGAATTGAATGAGTCTACTGGTGACTCTGAGTCTGCCTCGACCCTGATACGCCAGATGCACCTCCCAACTGCGGGCAAGCTCTCTTCATATGCCCTGACTGACCGCGCTGATAATAAGTAAGCCCCTACTTCCTACTCTGAGTCTGACTCTGGGATCGGTTAGGTGGTGGTAGTGGCAATATCTGCTGTCCTCCTCCTTTCTGTGGACATGCAAAGGCCTTGTGACCCGGTTGGCCACACTTGAAGCAAGAAAACCCACTTGATGCACCCTTCCCTGAGCCTGCACTAGGCAAAGGGAAAGTGGACCTCGACTGCTGTGGTTGAGACTGAGATGAAAAGATGCTCTTACTCTTCTTATTGGGCCTAAAATCTCCCTGTGATCCATGGCCCCTAGACCTCAAATTCTGAAGTCTCTCCTCTTCGGCTTCCACCGTAATCTCTACATGTGCGGCCGCCTCCACAAGACGGTCATGATTCCGGATCATGTTCCCGGCAACCTTGAACAAGATCTTCATCCTCAACCTCTGCTCAAACTCAATGCAATGGTGTTCCTCTGTCGCTACTAATTCCGGTGCAAATCGGGACAAACTGGAGAAGGCCGCTTCGAACTCGGCCACGGACATAGTAAGTTTCTTAAGATCCTTGAACTCCAACCTCAACCTCTCCCTAGTCGTGGGAGGTTGATACTTGTCTTGGAAGGCTGCTACAAATGCCTCCCATGTCGGTGCTATCCGACCCTTAGCATACTTCCACCACTGCCCCGCGTCCCCCTTGAGATAGTAACTCGCAAGAGTCACTCTAAGCTCACTGTCCTCTATATGAAGCATCTCGAATGTCTTCATGGTTTGTTCAAGCCATTCATCTGCTTTCTTTGGCTCGGGACCGCCATAGAATTCATCTGGCTTGGTCCTTAAAAACTCCCTCGTGAGGAAGCTAGCTTTAGCCTCCGCAACATTCTCCCTTGCTCGGGTTTCCGCCCTTAAAATGATCATGGACTCCCTCAATGCCCTTGCCATCTCCCGGGCTAGAGCCCCTATTGCGGCTTGGCCGGCCTACCCCGGCACCTCCGCTTGCCCCACTTGTTCGGCCATGTCAGCTTGGCCTAAACCCTCTTCTTGTAACGGGACCTCTTGGACCGGTACCTCATATACACCTCGGCGACCTCGACCTCGCCTTCCACCCCTACCTCCTCGAGTTCGAACTCTTCCGGACATCCTAATTGAGGGACAAGATAAATAATTTAGCACATAATTCCAAATGTGCTCACAATTTGCCTCACACGTTAAACTATAACGGTTTACACATATCCTTATCACACAACAATTCAATTCACTCCACATAAGCACGTAGTCACGTAAGCACATACGAATTATCCTTTAGTGATGAAATTCGTCCCATGAGAAACCAAGAATCCTTAGTAGAATGAGTATTGATCAAGTACCCTTCTAAAAAGACTTCAAGGAAACTAATAGGCGCAAATAACATCCCAAAAGTCTAATCTCATACCCACATAGTCACATAAGCATGCTATCACATAATCACATAGACAAGACATTTCCTAATCATGCGAAATGAACCCATTGTGGTATAGCAACCACTTCCCACGAGTCCCAAGTATTCAAAACCCGGTAGCTCTGATACCAAGTTGTCACGCCCCAAAATAAACCTAACATATCTAATACATCTAGCCACATTCATCAAATAGATATAATCATTCTCCAAACTTTACATCTTAATTTCCAAGGTTTATACAAAAGGTTCCACATGCAATTTATACATTCATGGGTAAGTTTACACATGAATCTATAGCATTTGAAGCATAAAGTTCTAAAATAAATGAAATGTCCTTATGGGCTACAATTTCCAAGGCTTAAGCCTGGTTATACCAAAGTGCCCTCTCGGACCCATACAAGAATAGTCCTTGGCTTTACAAAAATTTCACAACAAAAACAGAGAGTGATCTACTCTTATCAAGAACATTTCCACGCCTTCAATTTGGCGAGATCACTACGTCTTTACCTGCACCAAAACCCATAGGGGTGAGCACAAGGCCCAGTAAAGAATTCTTAACAAAGTATATATATTTATGTAAGATTCTCAACATTTAATGTACACGCAAATGTATGACATGCCATTTCAAAATAATCTCATGCCGTGCTTTTCTTGAAAATCACGAAGTTTTCAATAACGTTTAACAATTCCATCAATTTCCAACTTCTAATTTTAGATCATAAGGGGCGGTAAACACGACACTGGTAATCCTTAGGCTAATGTTTGCAAGTAGACTCTACGAGTACTACCAAATTGTCATTTTTAACGGTATTAACCGGAAGGCTCGACACTTATCCGCGCGATTTTTCTGGTCTTTCACCATGGACACTCAGGCCAACTTATCAAATCATCTACACCCCCTACCCGGACTTACCACCGTATTTACCCCATAAACATTTCCATTAGTTCTCATCATTACATAACCTTTCTCAATATAAATATTTTCCAAACTCATGTCAAGATGTATGAAAATAACAAAAATTAAATGAAGATATAATGCAACACATGATGTCTCATAATATTTTTTCATTCACCTTCCTCCAATGTCATCAAACAAAATAATCACATGCTCCACCGATGCTAATTAACACATAGTATTAGCTCATCATCATACACACTTCTTAACATTCTAGCCATTCCAAGACTATATGAAATTTCAAATATCAATTTCCAAATTTTCAATTCTCAAAATCCATGGTGTTCAACAATTATCATCTCACACTAAAATACTTCTCATGCAACTAACAACAACTTGAAAGTACATCCCTCATTTTCATATGTCAAGGAAATTATCACTTTTCTTACCAAAATATGGACTCCACATTCACACACCCATTTAAACACGAGAGATGTTTATTCCATGGATTTCCCATGTTTTCAAAAAGCCCCAATTTCTAGGTTTTATTTACAAATCCAAACATTTTTCCATCTCCTTTATAAAATCTCCTCATACCCATCACTCTCAATCCATAAGGGTCAACATTCCTCAAAAATCTTTAGAAGAAGGTAAGATGAGTTTTTCATCTAACAAAATCAACAATTTCTTGAGCCCTAGACTCCATTTTCGAAATACATGGAGGAGTTCACAAAAATCAACTAAAACTTGCATAAACATACATATAACTCAAAGGAAACCCTACCTCAAACTTGTTGATGGAAGATGAGATGAAACCCTAACTTTGAAGATGAGTGGGAGCTTGATTTCCACCACCCAAATGAAGCCCTAGCTTTGGATCTTCAAGATCTTGAGAGAGATGATGAAGATCTTGGCCCAAGAATTTACAAAATCAAAGTGTTGTGATGTTTGAGGGAGTTTTCTAGAGAGAATGGGGAGAAATATAGGGTTTAGAGTGAGGGAGAGATGTGTATAATGAGTGTTAAATTTAGAGTAACACGTTATAAGAAAACAGGGCATGGACTGCCCAGTTGGCCGCTCGTGCGGCCTTTCCCACTGCTCGTGCGGCCCACCTTGACTGCTCGTGCGGCCTATTTTCTCCGCTTGAGCGTTTTTAGACAATATGCAAAATTCTAGGTGGCAGCCTCCACCGCTCATGCGGCCCCTCCCACCGCACGAACAGCCCAATTCCGCACGTGCGGCCTAGGGCGCCGCACGTGCGGCCCTGGCCAGCAGCCCAAGAATTCAACTTCGTCCCTGGGCACCTCAGACTCACCCGCGCCCCTTCTGAAATAACCGAAATTCAACACCGAACGAAATAAGAACTAGGAACCCCTTTCCAGACGTTTCAATCCAACGAAAATAAAAAGAGAACGAAGCGAAGAAGGAAGGAAAGAAAAGGAAAACAAAGACCCGGTTGTCACAGGCCAAATTTACACCTCTATATGTGGATAGTGGTTACGAGATATGTGATTAGTGTTTATGATATATGCGATGTTGGTTATGAGGCAAATGGTGTTGGTTATGAGATGTGGTCATGACATAAGTCGGTAAAGGTTATGAGATATATGATTAGTGATTATTAGATATGTGATTTTGGTTATGAGCAGAGTGGCGTAGGTATAAGTCAAAGGGTGTTTGGTTATGAGATATGTGATTAGTGGTTATCAGATATGTTAGACTTATTTATTTTGATGATTTATTTAATTATATTTTAATTTATTCGAAAGAGAAAAATAGAATCCAAAATTTATTTTGATGATATATTTAATTATGTTTTAAATCCAAAATTTATGTTGATGATTTATTTAATTATGTTTTAAATCCAAAATTTATTTTGATGATTTATTTCACTATGTTTTAATTTATTTGAAAGAGAAAAATAGAATAAAAATTTATTTTGTCCCATTATTTCTCACATAAACTTTTATCCTAAATGTTGTTAGAATGTATTTAATATTTGATTAAATCAGAGGTTCAAACAGCTCAGCACGGCAGCAGGCCAAAAGGTTCAAGTGGGAGATATTTAAATTAGTAATGATGGAGTGAAATATATTCAAATTAGTAATGATGGAGTACAACGGCTATAAATTCAAATGAATACAATGGCAATAAGTTTCATTATATATACCAAAGTCTCTAATGTAAACAAGTTACAAAAAAAAACCATAAAATATTCTTTGATCTATAATCAATCACATCTATTCTCTGAAAAATTCTCTGAGAAGTGTTCTTCAATTTTTGTTTACATCCTCTCTCAGAAATTATGCACTGAGCCTTATAGCATTAAGCTCATCTTTCTTGTGTGAGGTTTATAGAAAATCTAGAGCTTCATTTGTATATCTATCTTTGAAAGATAATTCTTGTAGCTTTCTGTGAAAGCAAAAATACTTTCTTTTCAACCTTGTAAGAGTATAGTACACTCAGTGTTCTTGACTTATAAAGTCTGTGGAGGATTGCTCCATCTGTGAAAAGATTGCTAGCACCCTATGAAGCTAGAGTATAGTGAAAAATCTCAAGTGAAACTTGAGGAGTGGACGTAGGCCGAGTTGAAACCGAACCACTATAAATTTGTTTGCCTCTCTCACTTATCTCTTTATTTTATTTAAATTGCCATAACTATATTTCACATTTTCACTTTGCTAAAATCATTAACTGACATAGTTGTTAGAACACTTGTTTTAATTATTTTTATTTCATTAACTATATTTATCTATTGTGCTAGTCATAATTTGTATTAGCATATTATTATTTTTATTTGTAAAAACCTAATTTACCCCTCCCTCTTAGGTTGTCTTTTGGGTAACAATTGGTATCAAAGCTTGGGGCTCTTGTTTAGATTTAACAATCTTGAGTTTTTTTTATCCATAGCAACCTTATATTCTACTTACTCTGCTGTAGAACAAGCTAGCAATAGGCCACCTCTCTTTGATGGTAGTAATTACATTCATTGGAACGAAAAAATGACTTTGTATCTTCAAGCTACCAATTATGCTTTGTGGCTCCTTATCACTAAATGCCCCAAATCCCTACCAAGGTAGTAGACCATACCAATGTGCCTAAACTTGAGGATGACTTTGATGAGCGTGATTATAAACTCCTTCAAGCTAATGCTAAAGCTAAGCTTGTTCTTGTGTGTGGACTAGATGCAAATGAGTACAATAGAATTTCTGGGTGTATTACTGCTAAAGAGATTTGGGATAAACTTGAAATCACCTATGAAGGAACTAGCCAAATAAAAGAGTCTCGGATTGACATGCTTATTCATGATTATGAACTCTTTACTATGGAATCATTTGAATCTATTTCTCAGATGTTTTATAAATTTACCAATATTATTGATGCTCTAAAATCTCTTGGTAAATCTTATACTAATGGTGAGCTTGTAAGAAAAATACTTAGGTCTTTGCCAAATGAATGGAAAGCTAAGGTTACAGCTATCCAAGAAACAAAAGACCTAACAAAATTAGGCATTGAAGAACTCCTAGGCTCACTCATGGCTCATGAACTTTCAATGATGGATTGTAGCAAAAAAGAAACCATTTGGAGAGAAAATGATGGAGTAGCCAA